TCTGAAAAATGATCAGATTTTGCTTCGTCTTCTATCAGGTCTATACCCTCGGCGGTCCTCAGGAGGGGTATTGCATCCTTGTTTTGGTACTCTTCCTGAGGTAACCGTAAAACTGTTTGGATTTTACTGTGGCATGGTTCGGCAGGTCTGCTTCGAAGTCCCGTCTTGTTCTAAGAATAAGACCCTCAACCCGATTTCTCTGAGTTTCGTACTCATTTAGAGATGCAGGAGTCCTGTCCGTAAGCATTTTTCCCCACAGCTTCCGCTTTTTGTTAACTTCTACTGTTAAGGCCTGCGTAAGCCATCGCGGCCTGTTGTTCAACCTTCTTCGCGAAATTGGACAGCGGTTTTCGATGAGCCTGCGCATTAGGTCCCTGAACGTTTCTCTGTCCGCGGCTATGCTTCTAAACAATAGAGGTTCCCACTCAGAGCGCGTGAGTTCGGCCATCATTTGATCGAAATCGCCTCGCCAAATATTTCATCTCATTTTTAGATTCTCTCGAGTACTGAGGATAACGAGTACTCCCATATCAGTACAACTTGGTTACTTTTACCTAGCGGAGGTAGACGTGACACTTCGTCAATGCTGTCCCGCGATTTCGTGAGAACGAGGTCAATACAATTTCCAGTTGGCCATCGTGCACCCTTGTTGAATACGTGACTTCCTGTGTGAAAAATAACTTTAGGGTCATGCTCAGAAGGCGACTGTTGAAGGCCAGATCGGAGCTTTGTGCGCAGGCCGAGCTTTAGTCGATGTGAGGCGCGTTAAAGTCATCCATGATCAGGATATCGGACGGTGTAGCAATCTTTTCAAGCTCCTTTAACAAGGAATAATCCTCTATGGTATCCCTTCTCGGTAGTCGGGAGAGTGTCAGGACATCAAGGCCTAATGCCCCTGGTACTTTAATGGACAGCAAGATCGCCTCGAAAGTACACGCCAAGTTATCCGTTATGTCTAAAACGGTGACTACATTTTTCATCTATGTCAGTACGCCACCGCCTTGACGTCCTTCCCTGTCTTTACTGAGCAGTTGATAGCAAGGCATGATTACCTCGCAGTCGTCCACGTGTTCAGACAACTAGGTTTCCGTTAGGGAAATTGTATCTGGTGATAGTTCACAGGGATGAATCTTCAGCTCGTCAAGTTGGTTAACTAAGTTGAATTTTGAGAAGTGTGTCTCACTGCGATTCAAAAAAAAGAAGGCGAGCGCGATGGGCGACACTCATTACCTATCTGATCAATGTTTTAAGTCTGCGAAGTGGGCAACCAGTGTTTGCTTTGCCATTAAACGACATTTTTTCGATATCGCTAAAGAATTATTTGGGAAAGTATACGGAAGCTTTAGTCATTCACATATAGAATATGGAGTTCAGGTGTGCTGTCCGTAATTGCAAAAAGATTACAAGCTACTGAAAAGGGTCCAAAAGAGGGCAACAGGAGTCGCGAATGGCCTAAAGTCCGTATCTGACGAATGCAGACTTGCGAAAAATTAACATTAGCCCTTGAATACAGACAGCTTCTGGATGATCTCATACAGATATACTGGCTCATGAAAAATCGGGATTACGCCCTGACACTTGACAACTTTTTCGCATTTTCCACATCAACTAACCTGCGTGGGAAGTCCCTCGAAACCAGCGGAACCTTATGCCGTCGGGATGTCCGCAGCCATTCAGTTTCACAGTGAGTCGTCCGTGCCTGGAATGGACTGCCCGAGGAGGGCATAATGGAGAACACGACGGTTGCATGTAAAAGCAAACTTGGTGTCTATTTACTTAACAGATACCATTCACATGCACAGGAATGCGACTTTATGACATATAAAAGCTTCGCTCACACCTATTTTATTTATTTATTTATTGATAGATTGTCAGTTTAGAGACAATTTTAAAATGTGTCGGCGAACGGTTGCTTGCTGTTGGCTGAAGAATTAGCCGATTGCGGGCTACACCTTCAGCATTATTGCCCCCAACATGAAGCCTGGCACAGGATTCAGAGTCCGCGAAGGCCATCAGAGTGAAAGGGAAATTCCACCGACTCGACACCCAAAATTCGTGTAAGTTGTCCTGAATGTGGGAAACTACTGATAGCTCTCTTAAACAAGGGATATCTTTGCTGAGTTTTAATACTCCTGGGCAGCTTATTCCAGATTGCTCTGCGTTGACTGAAATAACTGGCGGTGTCTTGCAATGCGTGCCAGAGGAAGAAATAAAAAGGCATATTGATGGCTGTTGCGTCAAGAGTGGTCGGGCTGCCTCAGAGTAATAAGGGGATTAAAAGTACGACCGTTTTTAAGCTTAAACAAGAAAGGGAAAGCCGCCACGTGCACCACCACTGGACAAAAGCCTGAAGATCCTTTTTTATGAGCTCGAGCACGATGTTGCGATCTGCCGGTTCATATCTATAGGCAATCTTTTAATCGTCAATATACATTTAATGCCTCTCATACTGAAAACAATCAGGAGCAAAAGGCAAAATAAGAGTGGGC